ACAACAATATAGAGACATACCATGCCACTGTATACATCCACAAGTCTTAAATGACTTATATTGCTCTGGCCGACGTTTCTCCAAAAAAGACGACAGTGGAGATCAAAGCATCAAGAGACACAGCAAAAAGAACCAGCCCTTCACATCACACACATCTTGCTCCATTATAGAATGTCATGTATATAACAAGTTTGCACTGACTCAAAAAGAAGCAGAGTTTTACTGCATGAATTCAGTCATTTCCAGCCACTAAATACAAAGTCATCACTGTGAGCTCTAGAAACCTGAGTCACAAATTGCCAGGAGTGCATTGCTCCATGCCTCTTTTGCCCCCTTTGCTGAGCCTTGCCCTCCAAGCTCAGATGCTGAATTAGATGGTTGTTCAACTCACTTGTTATAGTTATTTTTAATGATCATTTTTGTAATCACATCAAGATACTACCTCATATTTGATTTGGATTCTACCACTCATGTGTTTATGAATAGATGTGAATGTAAAAACATTTTTTCCACCTGAGACACAAAAAATGTATTGAGACAACAGCTTGATGCAGAAAGCACACTTAATTTGACCATTTCTGTACACAATGAGAAGCTTGGTACAGAGGAAAGCCTTGAACAAATACTTCACCTTTCTGCAATTGATTTCATATTCACTCTGAGACAGCCCATAGCTTCTAATCTCTGAAACAAGTACACTCTGTATGCTTCTGCTGCTACGTAACATACAAGTAGTTCTTTAAAATACTATTCCTATGAGACATTAAGAATGAATGATTTGAAATTCCAAAGTAACAATTACTGCTGCACATTGTGAGCTGCTGAGAACAAACAAATTTTCAAGGCGTAGCTAAACATAATCCTTTACTGAGGGCTAAAGAGTAACAGCAGCTATGGAACCCTTCCAAAGAGAGTAAGAATTCATTTCTCTTGCTCCTGAAGGAATCACCCAGAAGAGATTTTAAGTTAACTCCTATCCACTGGGATTCTAGTGACAGCAGCTGAGAATCCTGCCTTATCATGTCCCTGAAGATAGGCTCTGAAAACTTAGCAACAGCCTATTAAAAAAAGTCATAGAGTCCAACTGCAGACACCAATTCATGTAGCTGTTTAGCTGCACATTTTACAGCATGTTGACCACGATTTCCTAATGACTGATGACGAAAACCAATTAAGTCCTCTTCCTGGAAAAGATCTATTTATTATTCCTGTACTTAAAACAAAACAGGTCATCTCAGGATCTGGCTATTTTCTCCACTCCTAAAAGCTATAAACAGGATAATAAACAGGATAATCAATTATTTGATGAGATCAGCTCACCAGTTGTAGACAGGGAACTTGCTGTTTTCTGCCCAGCTCTACTAATTAGATGCAAGCTGTGGCCAGAGCAACAGCAACACCTGCAGTAGAGCCCATCTTCCAGCATGAAGCACAGAAGTGTAAAAACCAGCAGATAATCCTGAGATTGCTTCTGTTCTACTCTTGCTTGGTTTCTAAATCATTACCATTCACTGGCAAAGGCACTATAACATTACGTAGTCATCAGATATAATGAAATTGGCCAGAACAGTTTTATCCTCTGTGAACATAAAACTGTAACACAAACACAAGACACAGACTAGTGGCATTTCTCCAGCAACTTGCAGCTGCCCCCCAGGTAGCTGCTGCAAAATCATTACAGACTGTGCTGAGTAGAAAGAGCAATGAACTGCCAAGTTTCTGGTACAATACTACATGAGGTCCGCAAGAAAACAGGATAGGAAGCTTTGTGAAAGGTACAGCTTTTAGATCACATGCATTGTGCACAGCTGGAATCTCTAAGCTAGCAAGTATAGCAGCGTGGACCTTCCAGGTTTGTTATGGACACAGCGTTGCTGCTTTTCTGAGCTACTGCACCCACGGTAGGTAGTTATACCAGCAACCTATGCCAGATGGGCAAGCTGCCACTTCCAGGCCGAAACTGGCTTATGCAGAGTAGGCTCAAATGTGCCAGTATAGTACACTGAACTCTTCCTAGGGCTGCAGATCCCAACATTTGGGATCACCAGTATAACACCTGGAAATATATGTACCCTGTCTATTTCCTGTACAAAAACTCTTCATTGTTTAGGGATTAATCTTGATTACATTGTGTTACTGCATTAAGTGAATCTCTGCCATCCTCCTTCAACAAGGAGGAAAATCATTTCACTTCTAACAAAAGCAGTGAGTGAGAAAAATCTAGCAAGTCCCCATCCGTAACTGCTGGCACTGCGAGAATGCAGCCATGACAAGCTCTAGAACAGAAACATCCTGCCACTTAACACGAGCAACACTGCAAAGTGGGTAACTATCAGACTCCGTGGGTTTGGCATTGACTCAAACATCCAACATGTAACACTTAACATGTAATACCTTCAGTCAGAGGTGTTCTTAGCCCAGTGTCAACGTAGTTCCTCAGAGTAGAAGCTGCTAATTGCTAAATCCACCATTAAATCCATCATTAAAATGGGCCTGGATTTTAAAGAGAACTCCTTAGATGGAGAGATAAGGGAATAGAGGGAAAGTGGTGAAATGCAGGAGGGCAGGGAAGGAAGAGCCATGATTTGTCTTACTTCCCCTCCTTTAAACTGGGAAAGTGAAAGCACTACAGCCTCAACGGCCTGGGAAAAGCTGTGGTATCAGCAGAAATCTAATTCACATCAGAGCTGAGTAGATCGCATTTATTCGCAACTGAAAACAGATTTGCAGTTAGATTTTTAAACAACTTTCCTTTATGTTAATGAAAAATGTCCAAACAAGACAGCCCAACAACAGAGCAGTGGAACATTTGTTAAATGATATGTCTCTCACCTCAGCAAGATACTAATCTGGTATGTCCATCAAACAGAGATATAATTACCTTACATAAAAGGCAGTATTTGAACCATGGCAATTTTTGCTGAATAAAAGAATGAGAGCTTGGACAAGAAGAAATCGAGGGAGAAAAGCAGGCTAGAAACAAAACCAGACAAACAGGTTCTATATTAACTTGCAACCTACAATAAACAGGTATCTAAAAACAAAATTTATCAGCTTTTACCCCACAAACATTTTTCCAACTTCTGCTTTGTGACCACAACCAAGAACATAAATGCACGGTACAACACACTAATTAAGCCTCAGGATAATGGCAATGAAACACTTAGAGCAGGAGCTTGGACTTAAGTACACTGATAATGAAGATATTACAGATGTTGTCACAGAGAATACATTTTTATCACTAGGACAAACATGCTCCCTAGTAAGGTTTTTCTTCCTTTAACTTAAACCTGTAGGTTTGCAAGCTGTCCTTGAAAAAGAAAGAAGAGCCCCACACTCCTACAATTAAGGTGCTTTATCATAAAACATCATCCTGTGATCTTCAAATCTGTTTGCCCTTTGTGCTTTACAAGAAAAAGAGCCGGAAGCTTGAGCTGCTATTCCAAGTGCTCTGAAAAGAACAGGGCTGTAACTGTGAAGGCTGTGATCAAGCAGTGGGTTGCCCTGCTCTGGCAGTTTGGTGGCCCACTGCTTCAGCGCTGCTCTCCAGCCATCGTCTCCCTGGTGCTCTGGGAAATGTATCTACACAGTTTGCCCTGACAATTTCTGATCACAGAACAACTCAGATCAATCTTTTAATCTTAAACAAGCTGTTCATCACAAAACATTGCAGGCCAGCCTTAACTGACAACCAATATGAAAGGATGATCAGGCTGAACTACTGAGATGGGCAAACTAAATATTGCATTCAATTTAATAAACAAATAGTGTAATAATAGAGGTGTTAATGCTAACAATTATACCAGTTTTTATTTTAATTTATGTTCACTCATTAACAGTGAGCAGAAAGAAGAATTAAAACTATTGACTGTACCCATAATTTTTACCTCTGATAAGTGATTTGGAAAAATCTAAGCCATTTAGTATTAAAACAATCCCTGTAATGAAATGAAAGAAAATGAACTCCTTAATAAAAACCTTGAAAATAATGTTAGTGATCATTCAAAGAATAATACATTGAAACCATAAAAATAAAATATTTTGGATACTTTGAAGAGTGCTTATACTTATCTGTAAACTCATTTAAGTGGTTTTAATGCAAACAAAGGTAAATAAAATGAGTAATCCAGCAGTGTACATGGCTCATCTCTGCATGTGAATAAAGACTGAGAGTCAATGTTCGTTAATAAACTTTCAGAAAAAAACTTTAACATTCATTTTGCATTTAAAGTGTGTAAAAACCTGATCACCTGCCAAAGCACTGATTGCCATTTACCATCGCCATTACACAGCACTATTGTGAATTACTCCCTAGGAAACTTAATATACACAAAAATATCCCTGCAATGCAGGTTTGTACTGTGAGATGAAATGAGTGTAAGCTACGTTCCTTTAAACGAAGACCATTAATTAAAACTGAAGAGGGAAAAGGTCTAACAGCATTCTTACTCTCAACTTGGTAAGTCGGATAAAAAAGAAAAAAAAAGTGAAGCTTCTATTTCTGCCCATGTTTAAAAAAATTCAAGAAAAGACTGGCTGAATCACAGATATTAATGACATCAAAGACGTACCTAGCATTTTCAGCTAGTACAAATCTCTAGGTCATAGCAAGCAAAGCTAGCTAGGTCACAAGTAAGCTTAAAAACTACAACTGAACTGCCATAACAGTTAAAGGCTATGCGTGAATTTCAAGGCCTCCCAAGCTCCCATCCTGTCTATGCTTTGGCTGCATCTCTGGATGAAGCTTCTCCTTCATACATCCTACACTACTACATGCCCTGATCTTCAATAAAGACTTTTTTTTAAACTTATTTGGAATTGATTTAGAAAGTCCTCCAATTCTAGACAAAAAACTGGGGACCAGAGAGTACCACAGAAAGTGAACTGTTCAGGTGAAGTACCTATGGAAATACTTAAAATAATGATTAACACATGAACAAATGAAGCGTCAATATGAATAACAAACAAATGTACCAGAAGAAAACGTTTTTTTAAAGTACCTTATTTTCAGGGGAGCTTGAAGTCTTTGACACCAACGCTGCTTCAACAAGACCCTGCTCAAGTAAGGAGTCATATTTTATGCTTCTTTTTCTGTTCCTCCTCTCCTTGTTTGTTGGTTTTTGTTCATTTTCCTCTGACTGTGACACATCTGCACCATTGTCTCCACAAATGGAAGATTCAAACAGAGGTTTTCCATTCATGTAGGTTTTAGTGATTTTCAGCTTGATTTCTGGAGATCCATTCTTGATAGGAGTAGTGTTTGGTGGTGTTCCAACTCCTTTTATTTCCTGGGGTTCAAAGCGCAGCTTGGCATCCTGGGCCCCGGATTCACCATTGAACACACGAGAAGTCAGATCTTTCAACTTATCGGCTGGGATGAATGGAAGAGCATCATGGCCATTATATTTTTGCATGACACCTTCCTGCAGAGTGGCAGAAAGTTGTGCTTTGCCCAGGTAGACAGAACACTCACGATTCACTTCACAATTCTGAGTCTTCCCATTGGTATTTCCAAGGATCTCTGGTACTTGCTTCATTTTTAAGTAGTTAATTTTTCGAGTTAAAAGTTGAGAACTTCTTTTGATGCTAAAGTCCATCCAGCCCAGATGTTTCCAGTCTTACACTGCTATATGAAGACAAAAAAAAAAGAAATCCAGAAAATATTTTTAGCAATACAGAGATGAGAAAAGCTGCAAAGTATTTAAATAGAGATGTCTTCAACAGCGTAACATTAAGAATGTATCTATTCAAGTTTTACTAATAAAAGTGTTGCTTAGAAACTTCATTATCAAAATACTTTAATATGTGCTAATACGCTTTATGTAAAATGCCAAGAAAAATAGATTATCAGTATTATTAAAATAAAAACATAGAAAAAGTCACAGCTTTAATTTTATTAATCTTTTATTGATCTACAGCAGGATTCTACCCATACTAACTACTCAGAAGTACCGCACTGTTTAAATCAAGTAAGATTTAGACACAAGTAAATATTATTTACAACAATGTTATGAGTTCAGATCTAAGAGGCTGCGCCAGAGTAAAGGGCTTCATTACTGCAGTACTGCACCATGGACAGCAGCACGACAAGCTTCTCCTCCTCATTCTAAGGGCAGGCCCTCAGTTTTCCGTGGAAGCATCCTGAGGAAACCACACACACAGCTCAGTCTTTCACCATAGCTCACGGATTTCTGAGTATGAGAATGAATAAAAGGCCATCGTTTTGTTTCATAAACATCAGCCCAGTATGAAGCAGCCCATCCTACAAGCCCATGGATACACTGTGCAAAATATAATTTCTCAAGGTAACTTCTGTTATTGTCATTAAAAAGCTGGAACACCATTGTCTACCAACGTTTTTTTTTCATACAGACTTCTGAAAAAAAGAAAAGAAATACAACAAGCCAAATATACAAATGTACTCTATCATCAGCCTTAGGCAGGTTTTCTGGGCGTTCTAAAATCTAGCCGTGCCCATTTCACCTTTATGCCATCTTAGCAAACACAGATATCTGGCAGACAGATTCCTTTGTGCAGGCATTACCTCCTAGACCAGGCAAATATGACCATTTTTCACTTATAAAATTCATACGTACAGACTCTTCAGATTAGCAAGTCCAGAATATACGATATGCAGAAAAACACTGCCATAAATATTATAAAATCTCAGCACAATAATCATCCTATCTATGCTTAAGGTAACCCATTTCATGTATGATAAAGTCCAAGAGGCCAAGTCACTCCCAAAGATTCACCACATCCATTCTCATGTGTCCATCTCCATAGAAGTTCTACAGACTCATCTGAGAGATACAAGCATGGGGTCAAAGTAAGTTACATTCTCCAGGGACAAACAGCCTGAAAATCTGGCATTAACAAAGTAAGGAAGAGCAATGCACCTGAATCCAAGGGAGAAAAGGTTTTGAATTTTTTTTTTAGCCATGAGAAGTGTGCATTAACAGTAAAATCTCTGATATATGAGTAGAAGCTAGTGAAAGGTATTAACTGTTTTCATAGAAGAATCAGAAGTAAATGGAAAACCTAAACTTCATCAGAGCAAAACAACTCACTAAATCAAAACAGAACTCATGCAATTTTGCAAGATCTCCAAAAAACATGGACAATTTTTAAAAAGATTCTCAACCCAATTAATAATATGACAACATTTCAAACTGTAATTTAGCAGATTTAACTGAAATCACATTTATTTTAAAGTAACTGCTGATGACAAATTCAATAAATCTTAGCAGAAAGGCCAGCCCATTGCAGAATGTGCGAGGCTTACAGTTACACAAATGATAGCAAATATCTTTAAAAACAAAAAAAACCCAAAAACAAACAAACAAACAAACAAAAAACAAAACAAAACAAAACAAAAAAAAAACAACAAAAAAAACCCCCAAACCAACAACAGAATCCCTAAAACACTGAATTTTTAGAAAATCCTCCAGACTCTTGATAGAGTAAACCAGAAAGCAGACCAGAGATTTGATTTCGGCTTCTACATTCAATCTATCTAAAAAAATAAGCCTATACAGCCTGAGCAGCTGTGAACGTGGTGCTCCCTTTTTTGTGGCTGTGGACGCCCCCCAGTGGCTATCCAGATGGGCCAGAGCACCAAATGCCACAGCTTGCTGCTTCCTTGTCCAGCAGGAATGCTGCAGACCACAGCTTCTCATAACATGACCAGCACCAAAAAAGTCTTGCGCAACAACTTCAAATCCATGAACTAAGCAGTAACTAAGTAAATAAATAAGTGGCCCCATTAACTGCTTACCAGGATCTGGATTTCTGAATCAAGATGTCAGATTTTGTAGCGCTGTCGTTTTCCATCTGTAATTCTACCAGTATTCTTTTTTATTCCTGCTTAATAATAACTCTTATTTTCATTACTTATTTCCTTAAGCTAGAAAGCTATCAAGCTCGAGGCAGACCAGAAAAAGAAAAAAAGCAAGAACTAATCAAATCAGACCATATTATTATTAGTGCGCTCAACAGAACAAACTGGATGAGCTGCAGAAGTGACAGTTGCAGAATAAAGGTTTGGTTAATGACTCCCAGTAACATGGAGCACTTTGAAAAGCTGAATGCGCTGAAAAAGACTCCTCAAATTGCAGGAGCCTAAAGAGAGAAGAATTCCAGGTGCATGACTGGTAAAAGGAAGTCAGTGCAGCCAGGTCTATGGTAAATGCGAAGATGAAGGCAAAGACCGTAATCTGAGTCAGAAAGACCATCACAACTGGCAGCATGCAGACTTTAGAACGTGAGAAATAGACTGTGACTGTACAAAGAACAACTGAGTCAAATGAAAAGAGGTGTAGAGGTAGAATAATGGTAAAAACACAAAGATATGAGTACCTAGAAGCAAATAAAGTCAAGGAGCCCCATGACAGAGATGACACTTGTAGAAAGCAACTTGCAGGTCAGTCATCATTTCTAGGACAACCCAATGGAGGAGAGGGAAACGGTCAATTCACTTGAAATAGAAACTACGCTGTGGAATTCTGTTAAAATTATGAAACCAGGAAATTTGCACTCACAGGAATAACAGAAGGCCTTGGAAAGAATGGCAAATTTGAAGCTAGTAAAATTTTGCACAATTTTTGCTGTCTTAATTTTATGGTAGCACAATACCATAAACAAAAAGGATCGAGCATTTTGTGAAAGGAGGACAATAGAGCACAGATGAAGAAAAGGAAGAAAAAAGAAATTTCAGGCTGTACTATGAGCTTAGATTTAAAGCAAGGAGAACTAGAATTCAGGACATGAAAGGACGAAGTGAGAAAGATCACAGAAAAGATCTGGCTGATCAGAGTTGTAAGAGTAAGGTCCTGAAGCAGCTCAGCATATGAATAGGTTTTGTGGTTAAAATAACTTCATTCTTAGACAGACATCTCCCACATAAACAAAAGCAATCCCTTATCTTTTTCTAGATGACACTGTATAGAAAAGGAAGCTTGGGGGAGGGGAGCGAAAGGCAGGACAATAGCACCATACAGTAATAGCTGCTAATGAGCTTAAGCTAGTAGCGTCCCATATTGACTGTCTGGTGACCCAACAAGTACCATTTTCTCTAATGAAGAGGAAAAAACATGAGAGCCAAGAAGTCTGCTGAATAAACACGGTATTTTGGCCTGTGAACAAGTAGTTTTCAGTAACCAAATGGGAATATGATTTACAAGAGAAAGGTCTCTAGACATTTTAACAGAACAATGATACATCCTGGTAGTGGCTTTGTATGTACTTTCATAGTAAAACACAGGTTTTATGTAAGGCAAATTATTTTGCAGACAATTACAGTGGTTTTATTAATTACTTAAAGGTCTGTCATCTGACAGGAGTCATGAGCCAAACAGAGTTTGCCTGCATGTCACGTTCTTTCTTTACTGTCCAGGCCACCATCAATTATGTGATACTTATTATTCACTTCTTCCACATCTGCTTCAATTTCAGAGATGTTTTTCTTGTGTGTCAGAAATAATGGAGCAGTCCATTCTTTCCAATTTGGTCAAAGGGAGAGAACAGAGTAAACAACAACAAACATCACATGAAATACCACTTCTGTTTTATCTAAATGTTTTCTTAAAGTCATTTCTCAGGTATGCAAATTTACAGTAAGAGAACATGCACAAAAGCTACATTTATTATCTACAAATCAGGTTTCAGCTGGTTTTAAAAAGCTAATAGATGGCTACCGTTCGTTTTTGTTTCCTGTAACTTTGTGGTAAGTCCTCTCCATTCTCTCAGCTATTTTAAGGTCAAAGGCCTTAAATTCCTGTTTTCAGATTAAGATTCAGAATTAGACATAATACTTGAAGATGAGCACAGTTATAACACATTCAGCTGAAAACCTGGAGTATGCTCATTCCTACTACCCCATATAAAAGAACAAACCAGAATATCAAATAGGAATAAAATCATAGGACATACTCTCTGTCATGCATTACATTGTGACCATTCTTCACTGCATTAAAATAATGAAAGGTTACTAAAGGACTACTAAACACAATTTACTTTTAGAAAACAAACACAATGTACAACTGAAAATTGTCTTGTGGATTTGCCAATAGTTGTCATAAACCAGCTCTATCCAGCAAATTCACAAAGGTTACTAGAGCAGCTAGTGGATAACTGAAAATCATTGTACCAAAACTTCCTAACAATTTAGCAGTCCTAGAAATGTCTGGAAGACCGAGAAAAGTAAGAACTTCAGTACAGGGAGACCATTTCAATTTTAAAAGCACCTGAAGATCTTCATTAATCTTGCAACATTGATTCTGGTTAACCTCCAACAAGGTGTTTTTAAAGCAGTACCTGAACGTTTCTTCATGCTTGCAGAACAGAACAATGACTATATAGAGACTTAGTATGCATTTACACAAGACTAAGCTTATTTTGAAAACCGTGTGAAAAGTTTAGAGTAATCAGAGCACTAAGACTTGCACTTGCTTGCCACCAACTTTTCTTTTTTTTTTTTTAAATTAGCATCCGTATTTTTTTGTTCTTTTTCCCAATGAATAAAATTTCAGAACTTAATTGTAACAATCTGTTCTCATTGACTGAACCAAGTATTTACGACCTTCTCCTGAAGGCAACAGGCAACACCAGCTTGTACAAAATACTCAC